ACATTCAAGTATCAAAGTTCAGGATATCCAGGCAAGGCTCCGTTAACCCTGCGCGCAAAAACTACCCACTCCCCTTCACTGCTAGCTCCTGCTGGCATCAGCATAATATATTAGGTATTAAAACATTCAAGTATCAAAGTTCAGGATATCCAGGCAAGGCTCCGTTAACCTTGCACGTAAAAACTACCCACTCCCCTCACTACCACATATTTGCTCTAACGCAACGGTTTAAAACTGTCGCGTTAGCATCTAAACCGTTGCAGTTGCACAAGCGCAACAGTTAGCAAACTGTCTTCATTGATGCCGTTGCCCTAGCCATAAGGCAGCGGTTGCAAAACCTAACGCAACAATTTCTAAGACAAGGCTAACGCAACGTTATTCACAAAATGCAACGTTTTCTGTAGCGGTTTACTAATGCCTAATGTAACGGTTACATACACAAATCCTAAACATGCAATCGGATCAAATCCTAAACATGCAATCGGATCAAATCTTACATCCTCAATGTGACCAAATGCTGGGCAACCAAACATCCGACACAACCCAATATCTAAAGCAACTCTACCAGATCTAATAACTCCAAACGTAGCAGTCAGTAACCTATGACTAAGATGACCCAAATATATTGAAGCTCCAAAACTCCTCCAAATCCTAAACATGCAATCGGATCAAATCTTACATCCTCAATGTGACCAAATGCTGGGCAACCAAACATCCGACACAACCCAATATCTAAAGCAACTCTACCAGATCTAATAACTCCAAACGTAGCAGTCAGTAACCTATGACTAAGATGACCCAAATATATTGAAGCTCCAAAACTCCTCTGCAATCCAATACTCGACAACCAGCGCCGACCCTACTCCAACAAGGAACGACCAATCAAAACTGCCATCTCATCTCGTCGTCCCAATGTTTCCTCTCTAATGAAGTATCTCAAACTGCTGTGAGCTTGATACAAATGCAAGAAAGGACTCCTACCAAAAATAAAACAATGGGTTACCTTTCTGCCAACACACTTCCTCTATAAGTTATTGACTTCTAGGACTTCAAACCAATGAGACTTGGTTGCAACCCACCAATACCTAGAACAGTCCCCAACTACAAAAACTAAATACCTATTACCTCCCAATGATATCTCCTTGAAAGGCCTCCAAATGCTTGAATGAACACCACCTAAAAATCCCCTCGAATAATGGATAGAAGTGTCAAACTCCACCTTGGTCTTCTTGCTCATACAATGTGCTCAAAGGACTTCAATCTGTAAGTCATAGCACTCCTTAACAAACCATGTACGACATAACCAATCAAATATTCCAGCCTTAACAAATGTCACAGTCTAACCAAATCCAAAGAAGTCGTCAGTTCTTTACCAATCATCATGCTCCCAATTAAATAGTACAAATTCTTCCTCTTGATGCCCTTCATCACAATCATGGATCCAAATATGACCTTTATAGGCTGTCTAAAAATCACAACAGATAGGTTATCCCCATCAAATAGTAACAATAGAGGTTACAATTCAACGACTTCTAGAATGCCACAATTTGAAGACTTTCATGAAGATCGGTGAAGGTTATAATATGACGATCTTCACAACAACTGATGAAAGCTCTAATCAACAACATTCACAATCAACATCGGGAGTTACAATTTGACGACTCTCACATATCAAAGAGCTAAAGTAAAGATTACAAAATAACAATCTTTGCAACGCTCTAATAGAAAGAGACTACAAATCGACGGTCTCTTAAAACCAAGACGTGAAAGTCCTCCCCGCGTACCGGCATCAAGACGTAGTGTTTTTAGCCATTGACGCAGCTCAAACCTGGCCACAAACGCAGCCTCTAAAAGCTACCAACGTAGCTTCCATCCACTGCCAAACGCAGCTTATGTTCGGCCACAAACGCAGCCTCCAAAAGCTGCTAACGCAGCTTCCATCCGCTGCCAAACGCAGCTCT